TACCATAGTTGAGATAGGGATAGATTAGTGCATAATATAGAGAGATGAGAGCAGAGTTAGGTACATAATATCTGATTTCGGAGAGTATACCAACTGTTTTAGAGACTTTCTTAGTTATGTGTTGTATGTGGGTGCTGGTAATTGTGAGAGTGTGTGAGGCCGGCTGTATAAATGAGTAAGTACCTATGTGTGTATTTCTGGTGATTCTATTCTCTAAATGTGAATTCAAGGTCAGGTGTTCCGTCGCATTGTCACTAAGAGCACCTGCAGTGGTGAAGTGAAGTGTGGTTCATATGAAAGTTTTCTAATTTGGGGAATTAACTTAGTCATCCTACGCTGGACACGTCAAGTAAATTTATATCCATTCTACAGTACAGCGACCAAAACTGAACTGCATAATCTAAATGGGGCCTAACTAGAGCAAGATATAGCTTGAGAACCACACCAGGTGTCTTGTTACTAACGCTGCGATTAATAAATCCCAGTGTCCTATTTGCCTTATTACGAACATTCATGCATTGATCCTTTTGTTTTGAATTCTTACTAATCATAACTCCCAGATCCCTTTCACAATCCGACTTCGCAATCTCAACACCATCCAGCTCGTATCTTGTAACTCTATCATCATTACCTAGCCTCAGAACTTTACATTTATCAGCATTAAACTGCATCTGCCAGTCTTTGGACCATTTCAAAACCCTATTTAGATCAACTTGAAGTGATAGTGAGTCTTCTTCCGTGTTAATTTCCCTACCGATTTTTGTATCATCGGCAAATTTGTAAATGTTGCTACTCAAACCTGAATCTAAATCATTTATATATATATATATATATATATATATATATATATATATATATATATATATATATATATATATATATATATATATATATATATATATATATATATATATATATATATATATATAAATAGTTAGAGGGATAGAAGCCCTAAATCAGAAGATAGTAAATACAGAATATGCGGTCATATTTAATGAAACATGTTTGAAAGAAAACCTGCTGCCAGTATACACCAATATATATATATATATCCACCATGAGAGTAAGGACAAGACAAGAACATATCGATGCCAACACAGAAGACAATGTCCAACATAACAGGCCAATTACACTGGATTAATCTTTGTGTTTAGATAGGAGATGCCTCGTATGGGCCAATAAGCCTTCTGCAGCCCCTATGTTTATCCCTTATGTATCCCCCCATGTTTTTCACCTTCATTGTATTATCACCTGACCTAATGCGGGTATAAAATCAACTAGTATTGTAAGATCTGTTCACTTGAGAATGAACCATGGAGGTTCGAAACGTCGTGCAAATTATACAAATAAGTGTAATACACTCTATAGTAAATCACTTCTTTTCTTCACCTTAAAAGTACGAAAATGAGTTTTGGAGAACTCCTATTTCAATTAAGCCCTGATGCTAAGAAAATAGTTAGAGGGATAGAAGCCCTAAACCAGAAAATAATAAATACAGAATATGCGGTCATATTCAATGAAACATGTTTGAAAGAAAACCTGCTGCCAGTATACACCAATATATATATATATATATATATATATATATATATATATATATATATATATATATATATATATATATATATATATATATATATATATATATATATATGTGTGTATATCACGAAAATAAACAAATATATATATATATATATATATATATATATATATATATATATATATATATATATATATATATATATATATATATATATATATATATATATATGTTCTAGGGCTAATAGTACCATATTTATCATGTAAGATTTAACCCACTAGGTGAGGTTGGTAGCATAACAGGCAAGCCAGGAGTTGGGCTTGTTAACACGTGTTTGCCCTTGTCCTGGTGAGGCTGCCAGGCTGCCAGTGATACTTGCGCAAGATCACTGGGAGTAAAGAAGGTCTATGTCATCCGTTACTACCACCACTGGAAGGTAATGAAACAACAGATGTAATATTTATATTGTACTCAGTAGGGAAAAATTATTATACAAATAGTACAAATAAAGTTGTATGCTATTAAACAGGAATGTTGAACAAGAAGTTCTCTACAGGAATGTTGAACAAGAAGTTCTCTACAGGAATGTTGAACAAGAAGTTCTCTACAGGAATGTTGAACAAGAAGTTCTCTACAGGAATGTTGAACAAGAAGTTCTCTACAGGAATGTTGAACAAGAAGTTCTCTACAGGAATGTTGAACAAGAAGTTCTCTACAGGAATGTTGAACAAGAAGTTCTCTACAGGAATGTTGAACAAGAAGTTCTCTACAGGAATGTTGAACAAGAAGTTCTCTACAGGAATGTTGAACAAGAAGTTCTCTACAGGAATGTTGAACAAGAAGTTCTCTACAGGAATGTTAAACGTGGAGTTCTCTTCACGAGACAGTACGTAACATCACAGTAGAGACAGTACATAACATCACAGTAGAGACAGTACATAACATCACAGTAGAGACGGTACATAACATCACAGTAGAGACGTTACGTAACATCACAGTAGAGACAGTACATAACATCACAGTAGAGACGGTACATAACATCACAGTAGAGACGTTACGTAACATCACAGTAGAGACAGTACATAACACCACAGTAGAGACGGTACGTAACATCACAGTAGAGACGGTACATAACATCACAGTAGAGACGTTACGTAACATCACAGTAGAGACAGTACATAACACCACAGTAGAGACGGTACGTAACATCACAGTAGAGACGGTACATAACATCACAGTAGAGACGGTACATAACATCACAGTAGAGCCGGTACATAACATCACAGTAGAGACGTTACGTAACATCACAGTAGAGACAGTACATAACACCACAGTAGAGACGGTACGTAACATCACAGTAGAGACGGTACGTAACATCACAGTAGACAGTAGAGACGGTACATAACATCACAGTAGAGACGTTACGTAACATCACAGTAGAGACGGTACGTAACACCACAGTAGAGACGGTACGTAACATCACAGTAGAGACGGTACGTAACACCACAGTAGAGACGGTACGTAACATCACAGTAGAGACGGTACGTAACATCACAGTAGAGACGGTACGTAACATCACAGTAGAGACGGTACGTAACACCACAGTAGAGACGGTACGTAACATCACAGTAGAGACGGTACGTAACACCACAGTAGAGACGGTACGTAACACCACAGTAGAGACGGTACGTAACATCACAGTAGAGACGGTACGTAACACCACAGTAGAGACGGTACGTAACATCACAGTAGACAGTAGAGACGGTACGTAACATCACAGTAGAGACGGTACGTAACATCACAGTAGAGACGGTACGTAACACCACAGTAGAGACGGTACGTAACATCACAGTAGAGACGGTACCTAACATCACAGTAGAGACGTTACGTAACATCACAGTAGAGACGTTACGTAACATCACAGTAGAGACGGTACGTAGCATCACAGTAGAGACGGTACGTAACATCACAGTAGAGACGTTACGTAACATCACAGTAGAGACGGTACGTAACATCACAGTAGAGACGGTACGTAACATCACAGTAGAGACGGTACGAAACATCACAGTAGAGACGGTACGTAACATCACAGTAGAGACGGTACGTAACATCACAGTAGAGACGGTACGTAACATCACAGTAGAGCCGGTACGTAACACCACAGTAGAGACGGTACGTAACATCACAGTAGAGACGGTACGTAACACCACAGTAGAGACGGTACGTAACATCACAGTAGAGACGGTACGTAACATCACAGTAGAGACGGTACGTAACATCACAGTAGAGACGGTACGTAACATCACAGTAGAGACGGTACGTAACACCACAGTAGAGACGGTACGTAACATCACAGTAGAGACGGTACGTAACATCACAGTAGAGACGGTACGTAACATCACAGTAGAGACGGTACGTAACATCACAGTAGAGACGGTACGTAACATCACAGTAGAGACGGTACGTAACATCACAATAGAGACGTTACATAGCTTACATCCCTCGAGGGTAATGTTTATATTTCTATGTAATGTCGTTAGCCTTTTCTTTGTCATCTATTATCCTCACCCGCGAGCATATTGTTGTGGGCAGCAAGACGCACCGTACCCACCATGTGTGAGAAGGAGGCTTATATGCCTCTATGCCCTCCTATCCACGAGGGACGGTTGATGGCTCTCGGTCCCCTATTCACCTACAGCCACTCAAGATAATATTAGTTAAATTATCTTTTACCTACTTTGATTTAATATCTGGTCTTTTTCCATGACTTCATGTCCTGATTATGGTTCCCTCTCATTACAAAGTTTGTTCCCCAGAGGTCACAACCACGATAATGGCTCATCATTCACTTTGGAACTTTGTCCTTGATATAATTCTTCTTTTCCTTCGCACTGGACCAATTTCCTAGCAACGAGATTTTTTCCTCATGTGTCCAATAATCAACTCCTTGTGACTAGATCGTCGCCGTATTCCTGGTCCTTCTCCACCGACACAGTGTGTCTGCAGAAGGTGACGAGGCCAGTGTTGCGGCGCCCTAGAAGGCGCCACCGACACAGTGTGTCTGCAGAAGGTGACGAGGGCCAGTGTTACGGCGCCCTAGAAGGCGCCACCGACACAGTGTGTCTGCAGAAGGTGACGAGGCCAGTGTTACGGCGCCCTAGAAGGCGCCACCGACACAGTGTGTCTGCAGAAGGTGACGAGGCCAGTGTTACGGCGCCCTAGAAGGCGCCACCGACACAGTGTGCCTGCAGAAGGTGACGAGGCCAGTGTTACGGCGCCCTAGAAGGCGCCACCGACACAGTGTGTCTGCAGAAGGTGACGAGGGCCAGTGTTACGGCGCCCTAGAAGGCGCCACCGACACAGTGTGCCTGCAGAAGGTGACGAGGCCAGTGTTGCGGCGCCCTAGAAGGCGCCACCGACACAGTGTGTCTGCAGAAGGTGACGAGGCCAGTGTTGCGGCGCCCTAGAAGGCGGCAGGCCCCTGCAGGCTCCTGATAGTGACGACGGGAACCACCAGCATGAGGCAACATGCAAGAAATATTAGCACCAACAGCAACAGTAATATTACCACGACGATGGCGAGAGAGTCTTTAAGGTGCCACTTACTCCTTCCTAGGAGGGGGTGGGTAGGGCAAGATGAGAGATGTGCCTCATGGGAGCAGTGTGAGAGTGGTGGGTGTCGCGCCTGGGATGAGAACTCTTTGGGTTGTGAGTGAACGCCAAGTGGACCAAGTGGACCGGTGGATGACCCGGAAGTAGGCGCTGGAGCTGGACGAGCAGCAGCCATTAGGTCGGTCGTTGTTTCTGTCTCTCTCGGCGACCCACCAGAGGTCGTGCGATGGTGACGTCGAACTGTCGTTACGGAGTATCCGAGACTATTCTGCAGGGATATGATAAAACATTTCACCTTCTCAAGGTTCAAATCAACACAGGTGTTACAGTGATGATGTGCGGACTGTGACAAGTGAAGGTCAGCGAGCGAGCGTGAGTCTCCGTCCCGCGGCTCTCTCTCTTCCGCCTCTCCCAGAACACGCAACTCTTCATGGCTAATTGTTCTTATTAGTTTAGATTCTTCAGACTTTTGTCCATAGATGTCTCTCGTCCCTAGCTTATCTTCCAGATCATTATGGCTTATTATCCCTTCATCATCTTCTATATTAGGTTGTTTTATCAGCTTCCGCCGCAACCTTCCCACGGTAATGACGTCTTCAACTACGTCTTTAAAAATGTCCAGGTCTTCTGCCAGCTCTCCGACCATTACTGTCCACTGTGTCCGGTCCACATGTTCTTCAGCCTCTTTCACTTCCGACATCGGATCTTTGCGCATCATCTGAGACAGATTTGTTTGTTCTTCAA